AAGGAGTCCAAAGAAGGTTTGGGGACTGTGTTCAGCCCCAGGACAACACTTTGCCAACCCTGGCCTAGAGACGGGAGACCCCAGGACTTGAGAATGAAGCATGGAGTGGAGAAGGGGAATCGGCCCAGAGATGGGGGTACCCAGAGGGCAGCTTGCCAGCGGGGCTGCGAATACTTACAATCTGTTTGCTGTGCCGGTCAAAGGTGGCTTTGACAAACAAGGCCCCAAGGGCAAAGCCCAACGTGTCATCCGTGTTGGAGATGCAGGTTTGCCAGCGAGGGGTGCAGGACTCGAGGGGGAGAAAGAGGGAGACAAAGAGTAAGACCAAAAGGGTTCCGGGGAGAGCTCTCAAATGGCCTTCTTCAACTGTGATAGCCTCTGCTGTTTAAAGGCACAGGTTGGGCTGGTGCTCCTCACACAACTAACAGCCCGAGGCTCGAATAGGTGAACTCCAGCCATGGAGCCTGCGGACTGCTTTCAGACTCCGCAAAGAGAAGTCTGCTGACAGGGTTGCAGATCCCAAGGGCTGCTTTGTATGAGGCCCAGAAGGTTCTCTGACCCTCAGCTTCATTTCACACATGCAGATGCTCACCTTCTTGGTTCCGTAGAGGGTCTCCAGCAGCTTCTCCTGGGCCGTCTCAAACCGCTGATCCAGGCTGGACGCCGTTTTCTGCACCAGGTTCCAAATCATATAATTGTTCAGTATACTACAGGAGAAAGAACAAGAGGATGCTGCAAAACCAGCTTTTTGCCCAATAAAGAAACTATGTGCAAGACATATATACCCTTTGAATGAAGACTTTATCCACACCTGGTGTGTGTGGGTTAGCCACTTTGGGAAGTAGAATGTTGAACTGGAGAGGCTTTGGGGCTGATTCACCATGGCTTTTAGTACGTTTGGTTTGTGAACATACCCCCTCATTCAAAAAAATACCCATCGTTAGAAATTGCCCAATTTCAGACTTGTTGGAGTCAAAACTGCTCCATGTTTAATACACTGCTATGGGATCCAGATCCTACTTTGTCCAGAAACAGGAGGACAAACAGGTGCTTCAACAAAATTTATTTATAATATAAAGCACTCATACAACTACTGCATCGGCAAAGCCAGGAATCCATGTTTTCTTATGGGGTACCTTCTATAATGTCACCTTTCCTCACTTTTACAAACTCCCTTAGAGAATACTGTTTGGGCCCTACAGGCAAATGGCTACTCCAAAAATTAAATCACAAGAGCCATCAAACCAAGAAAACAACAGCAAACTGAAGAAGAAACAGCCACCCACAAATAAAGTATTTCTGCCATACATCAAAGGGGTCACGGACCACATGGGGAAACTTTTGAAAAAACACAACCTACAAGCAGTATTCAAGCCCACCACAAACAAAAATACAACAAATGTTATGGTCAGCAAAGGACAAAAGGGACCCCTCACCACTGCAGGAGTACACCGGATACCTTGCAGTTGTGGCCAGGTATACATTGGAACCACAAAACGCAACATCCACACCAGAATCAAAGAACAAGAGAGACACTGCAGACTAAAACAACCAGAAAAATCTGCAGTAACTTGAACATGCCCTAAAACAAAATGGACATGAAATTGTATTTCAAAATACTGAAATCCTGGACAACACCAACAATCATTACGTCAGACTGAAAAACCCACAAAAACCAGAAAAAACTTAGGCTGAAAAGTTTAACATTTTAAAGTTAGTTTTTACTTATAAGGATTCAGCCAGGTGCTGAGAGCATGTGCTGAGGCTACAGCCCCTGTGTATACAATATAAATATGTCTCATGATTCTTAACCCTATTTTAATAGCCATATATTTAAGAACACGATAGATTTCAGGATCTGATGGCCAATTCTCTTCAGGCTCCTAGATGGACAGAACAGAGACTGCCGTGGCCAGGCAATCCTCTGCTGTGGTCCTCATTACCTTTTGTCAGTGTTATTGATGAGTTGGGACACTTGTTCTAAGTAGTCTTTGCCATATACAACCACCGGCTCAGCATCCGTTAGTTCTAATGGTGAGAGGAAGTAGGAGATAAAGTCTAACCAATCAATGGCAGGGGCGAGAACCTGGGAAAAAACAAGAATAGGGTCACTGATACATGGCTTTTTTGTGAAATGATTTGTGACTGCTTGGACACCATGTTCTCTGACTTGGGGCTTCTGCCACAAATACGCCATCTCTAGAGCTTATTGGGGGGTTATATGTGGCCAATCCATGGACTTTGCAGCCCCCATGTCCACAATTCTTCCTTTACAAAAAATACCCTGAAGATAACCCATTGCATCTACTGGTGGGTAAAACAATATTTAAACTTTGTTCAACAATTTGTGTATTGGGGGCAGGGGTGCTGGCCCCCTTTGAAATTTGATCCCCATGCCCCTTAGAGAGCACAAGAGGGCTTTTTCAGCTAATTTCTTTAAAAAAATGAAAATCTGGGGATGTCCAGGGGCTGGGAGTGCCAAAAAACAACACATAACCCATGGGTCGCATGTTGTCCACCACTGACCTAGAATCACAATTTTCTGGAGATGTTGATTCAGCTAGAAAGATGACCTCTGGATTTTCCAATATGTTCCCACCTCAGACACATAAAATAGTTACGTCATGTAGTTACTTGCAAGGCACAGAAAGACATAGGAAACCTGGCTGATCGATTGAGCTCAGGCTGAACACTGGAGACAGACCTGGGTAATCTCATATAATTTTTTAAAAATGGAGGATTGGCCTGTTGTCTCAGAAACGGAGGTGCAACTGGAGGATGTTCAGAGTACCTAGAAGACCTTCCAACAGAGTCCGCAAACTCTTCTTACTTTTGTGGTAAATACAGACACAGTGACTTCAAACCCAAGCAACCTCTCCCACCTGTCACAGACCTTTCTCAGGAGAGTTTGATTTTGATTTACAGGTTACCTAAAATGTAAAGGCCTGGAGGAGTCAAAAGCGCACTGCTCTTTTTGGTTCAGTTAAATCACTGGTTCTTAACCTTGGGTTACTCAGGAGTTTTGGACTGCAACTCTCAGAAGCCTTCACCACCAACTGTGCTGGCTGGGGTTTCTGGGAGTTGCAGTTCAGAAACATCCAAGTAACAAAGGTTAAGAACCACTGAATTAAATCATCACCATCATTATCTTAGAACTGCAGAGCTGGAAGGGACTCTATGGATCCTCAAGCCCAGCCCCTCTCGAGGAGGCCTGTGTGTGTGGGGGGGGGAATCGAACTCCCAAGCAGCCAGATGCCTAAACTGCTGAGCTAAACAGCAGTTCTTTATGTAATAAAGATATGACATAATTGTGGATGTGATTATTCAAGGGTTAAGAGGAACAAACTCTGCCCATGCTCTGTGGCTCCAGCAGGATTCCTTTATAGGTTCCAGCCACAAGCTCTCCTCGAGAGACAGGCTTGGAGTGTTTGAGTGCTAATTATCTCTTCTTCCTTGGCCCAGTTAACGGCCTTCTGCTAAAACAGAGCTCCACCCTACAGTAACAGGACCAGCACATTGGTGCTGAGAGCCTCTTTCCCAGAGACCGAATTCAGCCTGTGTTCAGACCAAGATCGGACCCTCCGGCCTGTTGCTACTTCACCCATAGGATTTCCACTCCTCTCCTTGTTTCCATGGTGACAGGTTGCTTGGCAACCCACAGGTGATGAAGGAAACCAGCTCCACCATGTTGCTGGACGGTCTGCCAGGACCCGATAGACATAATGCTGAGCCAATGGGATGGTTGGACATGCGGTTTGGCTGGGTGGGCACACATCAGTGGTTCTTAACCTTTGTTACTCGGATGCTTTTGAACTGCAACTCCCAGAAACCCCAGTCAGGACAGCTGGTGGTGAAGGCTTCTGGGAGTTGCAGTCTAAAACTCCTGAGTAACCCAAGGTTAAGAACCAGTGCATTAGACAGTCTAATGCCACATTGTATGACCATCCATGGGGGAGGAACAAGAGACTTGGGGTTGAGTGAAGTCCAAAAATAATAATAATAATAATAATAATAATAATAATAATAATAATAATAATAATAATAATAATAATAATAAT